CATGACAGGAATGGTTGGGCAACAGCCACTACCGGAATGCCTGCCGTGTGTCCACGACACACGGCGAAGCCCAAAAAATACTCGACAAAGGTACATTCGGCAAATGACACTCGGTGTACATAGTGCCGGCAAATGTTTCTTTGCCGAGTGTTTTCTATCGTGCACTCAGCAAAGACTTTGCCGAGTACTAAAACCAACACTCGGCAAAAAAAATTCAAAAAATATATAAAAAAAACCGCCCACCCCGCCCGCCCGCGGCTCGCCGCCGCCACCATGCCGCCCGCTGCCACCACCACGTCCGCCCTCTCCCACCGGATCCGCCCTCTAGCCACCGGGATCCGCCCTCTCCCACTGGGATCCGGCCTCCGGCGCGCGCGAGAGAGAGAGAGATGCACTGCCCACCAGAGAGAGCCGCCGCGCCCGCCCGCCAAGAGAAGTGAGGAGAGAAGAGCTAGCAGGCTCTCGCCATCGAGAGAAGTGAGGAGAGAAGAGAGACGACGAGTGAGTGACGGCCGGGGGAGGGAGGAGGGAGAGCGAGTGGAGGGGGCGGCGGGGGGAGAGGTGGTGGCGCCGGGGAGAGGGAGGGAGGGTTGGAGGGAGGGGCGACGGCAGGAGCTTTTATAACGTTCGAGGTTTGTCGAAAGTGTCGGATCGAGGACACTCGGCAAAGATAGCTTTGCCAGTGTTAGATCACGCGCACTCGGCAAAATGAAGTTGTTTGCCGAGTGTTTGATTTACACTCGGTAAAATGAAGTTCTTTGTCGAGTGTTTATCTTTGCCGAGTGTTTTTGTCCCTCTTGCCGAAAAGAGTGCGAGAACTTTGCAGTAGTTTATGCACTCGGCAAATAAGTTTGCCGAGTGTGTTTTGTGTTAGCACTCGGCAAATAGCTTATTTGCGAGTGTCCGATATAATACATTCGGTAAAGAACTTGGCACTCGCAAACGTACAATTTCCAGTAGTGAGCCCGCAATTGCGTGACAACTAGGGAGCGTTGTGCACGCCTCCCGATCACCTGATGGATCCAAAACTTCATATCATGTAAATTATCTTACTTTTTACTATATATAAAAATACTGATATCTATTGTATTATCGAATAAATTATTGTCTATATATCACAAAATATCTCTCTCTATAGAGTACTTATCTACCTACCTACCTGGTGTCACAGATATTGATAATCTATGGATGAAACATAGGATATAGTTTGAACTATGAATCTATGATAATAAAGCTAGAGCGATATGGTTTTATTTCTTTTCTTTTTTCATGGAACGGAGCATAGAGAGTAGTAATGCTAATTGCTAATGTACAAAGTACAGGAGTGTTTGGCAAATGAGCAGATTACGTCTGGACCTGTTCCGTATCAGGGCTGTTTGGTTGGGAGCCATGCTTCGCCACGCCACGCTGTGGTCCGCCATCATTCATTTCCGCAGTGTTTGGTTCAGACGTAGAGTTTGACAGCCACCGCACTCGACCTCGCCACACTCTGTGGCGATAAGGGGCTGTTTGCTTCCCAGCTCAATACGCCACGCCAAACCGTGGCGGACCGTGGCGGTGGCGGAGAAAACCGACGCCTAAGCTATGGTGAGATTTTACACCGGAACCGTCTGTGGCTGCCGCAGCTTTTTACTCAACCAAACAGCTGCGGCGTGCCGCAGTATGACGAACCATGGCGGGGAACCAAACACTTTTGGCCGCCATGGTTGTCGCGCCGCCGCAGGAGGCGTGGTAAAAGCTGGCGCACAACCAAACAGCCCCGTATACTCGAGTTGATATGGATGGGTTGCGCTAGCACCAGCACGCTGGGTGGCACGCCCACGCCGTGCAGCGTGCAAGGCCGCCTGCCGCCCGCTGGTTGCGAGGCACGAGCACGAGGCAACGCGGCACGCGGCACGCGGTTCCCTGTGTCTCTGTGCAGACGGCCCAAGCCCAGATCGAGCTCGATCTCGATGGCGCGCCGCGCAGCCCAGATTAGTATGCTGGCCCAGACAGACGTGCACCAGTGCGCAGCAATCGGGCCCATGGACACGTTGGTGTTAGCCCTGGCTGACCTTGTTCCGGAGCGGAGACGCTGGGCTTGTAAGATCCTGGCCCTGGCCCATCAACACGTTGGTGCACCAGTTCTTCATGCTGCTCTGCTGCTGCTGCTGCTTCTTCTTCTTCTTCTTTTTTGATTGATTCATCCACAGCCACAGCTCAGTTGTGCTGCTGGTCTGTCTGATTTAATCTAAGTACGTACGTATAAAAAGCAGTTTTGACGCCGGAAACCCTAGCGTGCAGTAGAAACCGAAGGTGAAGATGGATGAAGCGGCGACGACCAAGCAAGCAAGCCGCACAGGCCTCTGCTACTGCCGGTGATGGCCAGGCCAGCAGCAGGTGTCATGTAGTAGAGGCCGGAGCCGGCTGCTGGCGTGCGGCGTGCCTGCCTGGGGCTGGGGACTCGGGCGCTGGGCTACACTTGGTAGCCACGTGGAAACAGCGCAGGTAGCGCGCGCCGAGGACTCACACTCACTCACTGCAGGCAGGACGGGTTGGCACCTCTCTATTCCTTGGCTGACTCTTCCTGCTACCCCTGGACACACACACCATCCTTCTGACGCCGATGCATGGAACGCGAGTGTCTCGCGTGGAAGAGCCAGTGCAGCTCATCAGCTCTTTTATTTCTCTCGATCTTCCCGTCACAGAATGCGGTCGTACTCGTACAGTAGCCAATTAAACTGCCCTTGCTCATAACCACGTCATCGGCCAGCCACACGCGGACAAGAGCATGCCATGGGGACAGGACCGACATCCATCATCTACCACGGCCCCGTTTATTCCAGCTTATTATCCGATATCGCGAGAATAATCGTGCCAAAGCGGACACTACAACACTACAATAAAAGTAGAAAAAAAACTTAGACCACGTATTACAACAACAGAGTAACAATGCTTCTGAGAGCACGGGCAGCACGACATTAACCAAAACGAGAAACAAATTAATTGAACAACTAATAAAAAGTATTTTCCTAGGGTTATTTCGTTTCCTTAGTGTTGAACAACTTTCCTAGGGAAAAATTTTATCCCTAGAGTTTTAGTTGATACCTTAGGGAACGTGGAAGTTTCCTAGAGGTTTCAGTTTTCCTCAGGGAGCTAGATTGGTTGTCTGCCACGTTTATGCCACGATGCAATATTTTCCTAGTAATTCCATTCATACTCTAGGGAACTAAACATTTTATTCCATCTCGCCGCCATCCATCTCCGCGTGCGCGTCTCCCAATCCTTTTCCTCCCAAACCTAGACCCCGCCGCCACCCTCTCTCTCCCCGCGCCAAATTTTTTCCCACGCCAGGCGACCCATAGATCCGGAGATCCACCGTCACCACCCATCCTCCTGCGCACCGTCGGGCGCCCGCGAGACGCAGCCCGCCCGCCCTCCACCGGCTCCCTATGCGACGCCGCCCGCCCGCCCTCCGCCGGCCCCCTGCGTGGCGCGCCCGACCCGCTTTGCCGCGTCGGCCAGCCACCGGCCCGCCCAAGCCGCCCACCCGGCCTCCCAACGCCTGCGTGCCGCTCTCTTACTCCTTTGGTCATTTTGATGGCACAAGTGTTGTTTGGGTTAGTGCCTGTAATGAGATATTGCAACTTAAAATGATATTATGGATTAATAAATGTTGAATCCCAATGGAAACAATGCATGTGTGCTATGTTATGTTTAAATTTGTATTTGAATTCAAATATATATTGTTTTTTCAATATTATGATCGGCATGTTATTTGTTCCCTACAAAACTCTGCCCCTAGGGAAATGACCTTTACATGTAGGCACTCAAGTGGCACGTCAACAGATTTCCCTAGGGTTTTCCGTTGAAACCCTAGGGCACTTCTTAGTTTTCCCATGAAAACGTTCCCTCATTAGAGATCTTGACGAACTCCCCTAGGGAAACTAGGGTATTTTGAAAGCCTTTCCCTAGGGTTTTCGGCCATAGAGAAACAAGTGGATTCCAGTAGTGTCGGCACTAAAGAATACACCAATTGTCAATCTGCAACCTCTCACTGCCACGCAGAACGAGCCACTGCCATGCATGGCTACTTGGCTAGCCGCCACACTTAGCGAGTTAGCGTGTCGCGAATAAACAGAATAGTGTTGCTCGTGGCAAACGAGCACAAGGCTGAATATATAATATAGTACTTTCTACACGAGTGCTGCTCCCTTTGGATTTAGTACGTAATAAACAAGCAAGCAGCCATGCACACAAGTGCAGCAAATCCTAACGAATTTCCCAGCAACCACAAGCAGATGCCATGCAGAAGTTCCTGCCGATTCACCAAATCACAGAAAACCGATCCGGCCGTATCTTTCACCCTTTCTTTCCGGTCAGCAACAGCAACAAGAGCTCATAAAAAAACCAGTGAACCAAATCCAGTTGATGATACCACTCGCTCGCGGCGACAGCGGCAGCAGGAAAAGGGCGAGGGAACACGAGGAAATGGTGGTGGACCCTGTGAAAGGCTCCAGAATTCAGGATTTTCGGAGGGTCCGGCTCAAGATGCTGCTGCTGCCTGCTGCCTGCCCCGGCCCGGACGTCCCCGTCTCTCCCTCTTCTATATATATATATATATATATATACTGTATGTACCCGTATCGTGGATGGACGTGGATGGAAGGAGTCAATTCCTGGCAAGATTTGGAGCAAATCCGCCCAGGATCTTGCTTTTTCCATGCGCTGGGATTTTCTTGGTCATCACACGCACCTCCTCCCCTTTCTTTCCACCTCTCTATTCCTTGGATCGCTTTCCCTCATATCTCCTGGAATCCTTTCATGTGCTTGCCTTGTGTATAGTGTAGTGTGTGTATATATAGGAGTATACGTGAACTCAACCACACCCAGCACACCCTTCAAAAAGCAAGCAAAGGAAGCTCTTTCATGCCAAGCTCACTTTCCCTCTGCTGCTGCTACCTCATACCATAGCATCCTCCTTCCTTCGCCGTCCTGCCCTCTTGCTTGCTTCTGCTGCCATGGCGGTGGTGGCCTCGGAGACGCCGTTCCATGTCCTGGCCGTGGACGACAGCCTCCCGGACAGGAAGCTCATCGAGAGGCTCCTCAAGACCTCTTCCTTCCAAGGTAGTGTCAGTCATGTGCCTGCAGCTGCTCTGCACGCTCCTGGACGGATCTCAGTCTCATGGAGAGTTGTGGCTCTGTTTCTGCAGTAACCACTGTCGACTCCGGCAGCAAAGCCCTGCAGTTCTTGGGGATCCATGACGACGACGCCAGCACGGTCTCTGTCCACGCGCACCAGCTGGTAAGCAGAAAGATGAACAGATCGTCGTGTGCAGCTGTTTGTTCTCTGTTCCTGCTAGTCTGACGAAAGGTTTCTGATGTGTTTGGTCTTGCTTCTTTGTGGGTCATATAAGCAGGATGTCGCGGTGAACCTAATCATCACGGACTACTGCATGCCCGGCATGACAGGGTATGATCTGCTCAAGAAGATCAAGGTATGCAATAACAGCCATGTTCTGTCTAGTGTTTCTTGGTGTATCATCTGCTGAAGATATATAGCAGGGTCTAATGAAGATGCATGCTTGGTTTGTTCAAGCAGGAATCGTCGTCTCTTAGGGATATCCCGGTCGTGATCATGTCGTCGGAGAACATCCTTCAAGGATCAATAGGTGAGCAATCTTATGGATCTCTATGTAATTTGTTTCAGATCATCTCCTGGTGTTTATGAAGGAAAAAGGAAATCAAAGTTAAGTGTACAAAGACAAAAGAGCAGTGAGAAGCTAAGTAGAATTACAGCATGAGAACAGCTCTTCCCATTTACTATGTTCCTGCATGACTGACAGCATACTCTTGCTGAGGAATTACTTGACAATTAGTAGAAACTTTTAGAGAGCTAAGGAAGTTCCTTTTCTCTCTCTATGGAGACAGAAATGAATAGCTTTGGACCAAATTGGATATGGAAATCTCTCCGAATCCTTAATGATTCGGTGCCACATGTGTTGTAGTATAATAGAGGAACCGCCCCACCCATGACACAGCTCACACACCGGCTTAGTATAATCTCGAAATGTTTGCTGTCTAATAATAAACAAAAAAAGAAGAAGAAAAGATATGGAATAATGAGCACATCGATCTTGTAGATCTTCCTTCCATATTGCCGTATCCATGAAACAGGCTTATTGATGCAGACAGCTCACTAGCAAGCACCACTCGTCTTTGTCCCGGTTTATTCTGTCTACTTGCACGGTGCACAAACAGAGAAACATACATAAAAACACTCAGACGGCAGGAAAGAAGTCAAATAAAGAAATTAAAAGATATGACGTTTGTGAATGGACAAGTGTAATAAAGATAAAAACACAAAAAAGTAAAAAAAAGGAAGACATATTATTACTTGCATCAGATCTAATTTAGGTAAAGAGATATACAAATCACTGACTCACTTCTCAATTACATTTTGAATCAGATGCCTGGAGGAAGGAGCGGATGAGTTTTTCCTAAAACCAGTGCGGCTATCAGACATGAGCAAGCTCAAGCCCCACATACTGAAAAGCAGATGCAGGGAGCACTACCAGCAGGAACAACAGCACCAGCAGAGTGACAGCAACAGCAACGATTGCAGTAGCCCCACGAACAAGAGCAGCAGCAGCGATAGCAGCCGAAAGCGAAAGGCAGAGGACAACGAGGAAATTTTGCCCCAGAAAAAACAGACCAAGACACAGTTAGCTGCAGACTGATCATAGGACAATTAACCCCCTCTTTCTTCTCCCCACCCCCCCCCCCCCCCTCTCTTTGTTCTTTCTTTACTTAGCTTTTGGCCTACTGCTTTTGTAACACAGATGTTTGCCCCTGATTTGCAAAATATAATGGAATCCATAGCTGGACACTGCTAGATTCGAATCAAGTGATTTTGTAACACATCTCAGTTCTCAGTTATAAGAGGACAGTTATGATAACAGCTCTAGCAGGTCATCGGAGACATCCAAAAGTGACAGAGATAACTTAGGATTAGTTGTCTTACACTCTTACTGTTTCTAAGCTTAGACAGTAAACAAGCACTTAGGTGCAAGATGATTTCACCAATAGCTTACAGCAAGGTTCATCCTACATAATTGGGTGCTTACACTGGCCTAGCAGAACCGTATCACCTGCCCCTCTGAGAGGTAATTTTTACAAACTGCTTATGAGACCTTCGTCCACCGAAATGCATGGGCCCTCAGAAAATGCAACGGTATGTCACATGGTTCCCGGTAAGCTCGCTGTCATATATAACTTTAACAACAGTTCCCTTGCCTAGTCCGTAATAGCGAGCAACAGCATCATTCTCCAGCATGCGAGGCAGCTGAAAGATACAAGCACCAGTTTCAGTGAAGTGGCATGAAATTACTTTGCCACAAGTTAGGCTAGCTCCATCAAAAGAAATAACCAAGGGAAACACCAACAAGCTAATAATAAGTGGGAATTGCACCTGAGGCATGCTAAGAATAAACTAGCCAAAATAAATGAGATCAGTATCCCCTCCACAGCCACAAGCATATTTTTAATTTCTGATTTGCATATCATTATGTAAGGAGGCAGCAATATATAATTAGAACACACATAAATAGAAGGTGAAATAAACTTGACACTGCAATTAAAAAAATTCTTTATAATGTGATAACAGTGCTCCACTATGAAAATATGGGAGGATCTTCAGTTTCAATGCCACCAAGTTGCATTTTAGTGAGAGACGCATAAACACAACAGCATTGTAAGCACAATATAAATGATGGAATTCACTGAATTACCATCAATATTTCCATGTGACCAATGCGGTCAGCATGGTAATTTCATAAGTTATCAGCAATGTCAATCATCACACCCAGAAAGCACACTAACAGACTGCAGTATCCCATATGGCCATGATCATGTTGCAAACAAAATCGAGTGCTGAAATTATGGTGTTACAGCAGCTTAGCAAGTATGATGAAAAGCAACAACTGACTGCAATCACCAGGCTGCATTGCTGTTTTCCACAAGATGTAACAAAAGAAGGCTACAAAATTCACATGGCACCATGACTTCCAATTCCAGTATAATAAAGCAGTAAGAAACTATCAATAAGTAACTTCAGAAAGAAGCATACCTGTGCATCCATCACATTGTACTCCTTCAGGAGCTTGGCTTTCTCCTCTGCAGTCAACACTTGATGCTTGGGCTTGAGGACATGCTTAGTGATGTTCACCAGTAATTCCGTGATCTATCATTGGAAGAGCACATTGATTTGAATACAGGAATAAATACAAGATAAAACAGCAAAATACAACTTTACATGATCTTCCGAAAGTTGCAATCTTCGAAATGAACACTTGATGTTAAGATCATAGTTTGCAGAAGAACAAACAGTGAAAATTCAGATTGGGCAGTGTAGTTACAACCGAAAGAATCCATGTTGTTACTCACTTAAAGAGACTGAACAAAATGTGAAGAGCAGCCAACAGATTAGACAAAACCTGACCTGGAACGTGTCAACTTTAAATGGAAAGATCTCCTTGATAGCTTCTCTGGCTTTAGACATTATTCTGCCCTGCAGGATCAGAATCAGTCTGGACAAGTTCTCGCCTTTAACTCCGTATATACCACCCGGATAGCCATGAGTTTGACAGGTTGAATTGGACAGAACACAACTTTCACCTGCATAACACATAGTGGAGACACATCCTTTACTCACTTCACTTATGGCAAGAACAATTGGTATAAACAAGCACCTTATCTGCATGAAAAGACAACAGATAAAAGCACCTGTACTAACCTATGCACACAATCATTTAACTTATGTAGATACATACATAACAAATTAAGCAGTTCATACCAGTGTTTTCAGATCGGATGACTAATCGCGATTAATCGTGATTAGTCGTCCTTATCGTAACTAGGTGCTCGATAAGGCCCTCGATTAGTTTAGACCGATTAGAAACCTTATCGTCCATAGATAAGTTGCGACTAATCATGATTAGTCGTCCGATCAGACTAGCCGAACGACTAGTTGGGTAGGGAGAATTCGGCCCAGCTAAAGAATTCGGCCCACCTTTAGCTGGCCCATTAGGGTAAGAAGAAGAGGAGTGAGTGAGTGACCTAGTGAAGAAGCTGCAGCAGCCGCAGACATTTCCAGCCCCGCCTGCTCTCGCTCTCTCTGAGCCGCACGGCACCTCCGCCTGCGTCTCCTCCGCTGCTCGCCTGCCTCTCGATCTCCTCGCTTGGCGTCCGCAGCTCCGTCGCGCCTCGGCTGGCGTCCGCAGCTCTGTCTCGCGCCTCTCGCTGGCGTCCGCAGCTCTCCGCCAAGGCCTCCACCTCCGTCCGCTCTGTCTCCTCCCTACGGGACCCAAGAGCTCCCGCCCGCCTCGAGGCTCATCGCCTGAGCTCCTTCCTCGACGCTGGAGGACGGACGCGGGAGGCCTCAAGCATCAAGATGAGCCACCACTGGCTCCTCTCAAGGTTATTGTCTATGTCTGCTACTTTGCTCGTAGGTATTGCCCGTTGCCACCAATTTGTGACACATTTGTGTGGTGTGCCGCTCTCACAGAGGATGCTCGACGGCGTGCGCTTGTTGAGGTAATTCTACGAGAATGAAGCTGTCTCGGGGACGGGCTGCTCGGGCCAGCGTCATCAGCTGCTCCAATGAAGCATCTCTCCGATAGCTCAAGCGATAGCTAAATTGCCGCCAGATCTTTGCCGCCATGGCTGAAGATAACAAGAGGAAGGCAAAATCATCAGATCTGGATGGAAATATGGGTTTTGGCCAGACATAGGGAAGAAAGAGTTCATCCAATGTATTTTCTGCAAAAAAGGTTGTCCCTACAAGCATTAAAAGGTTCAAGCAACACCTTGTTGGGGGCTATTCGATGCAGATGAAATGTGGTGAAGCAACTGAGCTAGTTAGGCATGAGATGAATGGTTACTTGGTCACAAGGTCAAGGACTCAGGTTCAGGTACCTACGGACACTGGGGTGGAGCTGTAAAGCAGAAGAAGAAACAGATCAAGGTGGAGGTGGTGTACATTTGCTGCTGAAAATGAACCAAAGGCTGGGACAAAGTCAAAGCAAGTTCCAAGTTCGGGACAAAATCAAAGCAAGCGAAAAAGATAGCTCAAGCATCAATCACGAACTTTGTGGTTTCTGCTCCACCAAAACCTCAAACACAGAAGCATTCCAAGTCAGTGAGTTCTTTGCTTTGCAAGAGTCCAGAAGAAGTGGTTGCAGAAAGGCACAAGTCCAAGATGTCACAGCCCACTCTTGAGTACTCCACAAAGTTACAGGTAAGTGGCCAAATCACCATGATAATGATTCATTGCAAACATGATTACATGCCAAACTGTGCTTGGTTGCTTGCCTCTAACATTTACCTATTTATTATGGCCATGTTTACATATATTTACATCATATATATAGTATATACATGGTCGATCAGGCCATCTAGGCACAAGGACGACTAAATGTTCGACTAGCCGATTAGACCCGATTAGGACCGACTAATCGACCCTTCGCTCTGATCGGTGGTCATACGACTAGCCTCGATAATAATGAACTGAAAACATTGGTTCATACCATCCCAGTTGCATGATGGTGCCAACCCTGGCAATCATAAGCGCCAAGAATAATAATGTCCCTAAACGGTACGAGCAACCACACCTAACATCAGCAAACAGCAAGTAAGGGTGAATCGGTGAGAAAGGGTAGGGAAGAGCCGATGTGCCTCTTTCTCCCAAACTCTTCAATTTTGCAGTACCTCCCGTCCACAATGCCTATCTGAGCATAACTGGGTTCTAGTGCACTAATGAGTACTAACAACCTATTTAATTTCGGGAGGTTATCAGGAGTATAAAACCAGACTTGATGGAGCAGGACCCGAATGCAGGTTGAAATCGTGCGCTAGAACACGAATCTAACTCTAACCCTAATGCAAGAACATCTGATGCCACACCGATGATGATAGTATGATACCATGGGGTAATAAGTAACTGAAAAGAAGAAAATAAAAAACCCCACCTTGCTGGATGGGTCGGAGGCGAGGGTAGTGGAGAAGGCGAGGCGTTCGAGCTCCGGCTTGTCTTCCCACCAGGCGCGGAACTCCGGGAGGGTGCGGGCGAGCTCGTCCTCCGGGACGGCGTACCCGCGGTCGCGGAGCATCTCCAGCGCGGTGCGGCGCGCCAGGAAGAGGCGGTGGCTCTCCACGCTGCCCCCGCGGTCGAGCATCGTCGATATGCAGGCGGCCACCTCGGGGACGGCGTCGTCGTCGTCGTCGACGTCGTGGCCATCGACGGCCCGGGCGGCGCTGTTGGGCGCGCGCGCGGCTGCGGCGGCAGTGCTCTCCGCCGAGTCCATGGTCAGCGCCGATTGCTGGGAGGGGGCGAACTGGTTCGGATCCATTTTCGTTCTTGGGTTGGGTGGGCTGGGGTTTTGGGTGGGTACAAGCGGAATCTCACGGCCTGATCGGTTGGATAGCTCGTTTCGTTGCTGGATTGTAAAGAAATAATGCTGGCTGATTTGTGTGAGAGAGAAAATACTGTTCCTGCTGAAAATTTACGATCATTTACGACAAGCCACAGCCAAACGAGCAGGCTGTCACTCTTCTTAACGAAATTACTCCTTTGCAGTGAAATTGAATATAGGTTAGCCCTTTAAAAATGTAATTACTCCTTTGCGTGAAATTTTGCTTTTCCGTCACCGTCTGCCTCCACGCCTTCTTCCTCAACGGCAGCGGCGGCTAGGGTTCCAACGAGCGGCTAGGGCTCCGACAGGCTTATAAGTTTTTTTGGGTCTGCGGGGGCAGGCGGTGGGACATGGGAGAGGACGGCTTAGGGTCCTAGTGGCGGCGCGAGGCTGGGGGCAAGTTGGGGGCAGGCGACATGGCCGGAGCTCGCTGAAGGAGGGGGGAAGAAGGCGGTCCATCTTGCAAGCGCTTAGGTTTTGCCGAGAGCTCATCACATGTCAGGCCTCGAAAACCCTAGCACGTCAAGTGAGAGGTGGGCAAGCGTGGCGAGGGCGAGGACGATGAGGAGGGTGTGGTGCCAAGGCAGGCTGAGGTGGGGCGCGAGGAGGAGGAAGGCCGGGCAGCGAGGAGGGGGGCACGAGGAGGAAGATGATTGATATCGCTCATTCGCCTGTCGCCGATACATACCCTAAAAAATGGTGTGATGTGACAGTAATATAATACTTAAGACTAATAATGTTCAAAAACATTAATTTTTAGGACAAACTGGAGAATCTCTATTATAGATGATTTTGAAATCAGACGTTGCTAAACTTTTTTTTTAAATCAGGGGGAACTTTTATTCACCTAATAATTAGAATTAGGTCTGGCTTGGTAGAACTCTAGATGGCTCTAGCTGTGACCTCTTCATGCACTATAATGAAGAATTATTTTTCTCTCTTCTCTCAAAATAAATTAGGAGTCAATAAAATCACTATTTTTTCCTTTACCGGCTACGGCTTCTTCACTACCATGGGGAAAAAACTGGAAATGTCCCCCACACAAGAAACGACTTCCGTACTAAACGAACCGCTTAGCTAGATGAAGCTATGTAACCAACACACACAAGTACTTCATCCCAAATTGTAAGACGTTTGACTTTTTTGGCCCCAAGTTTGACCACTCGTCTTATTCAAAAAATTTGTGCAAATATAGTCAAATTTAAGTCATTCTTGAAGAATTTTTATTAATAAACCAAACCATGACGAAAGAAGTGATATTTTACACAAATTTTTGAATAAGACAAGTGGTCAAACTTGGTGTCAAAAAAGTCAAACGTCTTACAATTTGGGATGGATTGAGTAACAAGCAAAAGGGCAGTTTATTATTGTGAATAGTTTTGGAATTTTCCTTTCCATGTTTCTCGGGTTCATTTATCATGATTTGTTTTGTACTTATAAATATGCTTTTTTTATTTTTCATCATGGTACCTCTAACAAGTTCATCTTTTAAAATAGCTTCAAGAGTCATCTTAAGACCCAAATATCCTAACTTGTATAATATAGTTCAGTGAAAACAAACCGCTATTGCAACAACTCAATGTTTTCTCTAGAAGAGCATTACTAGGTAATAAATTGTTAGGACATAGTAACAAGATTTGCAAACATTGAATTACACGTAGGAAGGATACTTTTTACTTGTTCGAACTAATAGTTTTTCTCAATAAACTCTAGGGACAAAGGTTTCTCAGAAAGTTTGGCGACTAAAGAATCTTTTTGTGGTTTTTTAAAAAGGGTGTTATTCTTACAAATATAATTTAGTAAGAAGGAATTGGAATAGGAGAAATTGTATGGTTTGCACGTATGATATTTTGGAGTTTGAGTCAAACTTTTATAACTTTGATTACTAATAATAAAATTTTAATTATTTATTTTAGGAACTTGAATATCATATGCACAGGTTTTCCATGAAAAAACTTTCATAAAAACATAAATTCGTTAGGATGTTCATTTATATTCTAATAGAAAAGTGGTTTTTGTTGTCCAAGACATCATTGTCCGGAAGGGAAAAAGAAAGAAAGAAAGGAACTGTATATCCAACAATCAAGTAATTTTTTGTTTTTCCTTTCACTCAAATTTTATCCAATATACTAATGGCATGTCATCATCTCCATTTTATCTCATCCCAAAGTAGGTAAAAAAATTCTAATTTCAACCATATTTGAGTATAAGTAATTTATTTTTATTACACTATAAATCAAGAGTTTTTGTTTAAAATGTTACTATACAAAATTCTAATTTCAACTATATTTGAGTGTCAAGTAATGTAGTAGGCTGGCTGTTAAACTCACCTCGAATGATTGTTGAATAAACTAGTGGTGCTATATAATACTCCTTATAGTATCCATATGGCAAGCATCGCATATATGATGTACCACGTGGCGAATGAATCATTAGTAACTACATATCCAAAACTGTTGTTCTACATGTTTGATGAGCGTATGTATGGATAAAAACCTCTGTGATTGCGTCACTCTAGGGTCATGGCCAGAAAGTTTTATTGGTGCAGTGACTGCACATACTGAGTTTTGTTGCTCCATTCTGGTTTTGAGAAGATGCCTGCTAGTTGATGATGATGGCACGGTCAATCTTTCACGGTGTGTTGCTTTTTGTTGAATTTAGGTAGAGCCCACAGTAGTTTCTGTGGTGGTATTTTGCATGATCACGATGAGTATAGGATAGAAGCTGCTGGAAAGATGCCTTTGAGCAATCGCGTTGTATAAGACTTTTATGTTCCTTCTTAATGTAGTGATACGCACTGCGTATTCTAGTTCTAGGAAACAAATAACCACATTTGATGGTGTATGTGATGCATGTTTTGACCACTGTACTGTAAATTGGTGCAATTGTTGGCGAGTTTGCTGTCTATCCTCCCACATATATCTTAAACTATCTCTGATTTTTTTTTTTTTGAACGCATGAGCTAAATCTGATTTAAGTGGTATTTCTACCAAGTACCAACTGATGATGTTAATGGGAGATGTTTGTAGTCGCAACTACTCTTATACTGTGAAACTTTCAGTACCGGCAAAATTAAGCTCTTTTGTAACTTTCAGTAACAGAGTAGATTACTTGAGTAGGAGTAGCCACTAGTGTGTTGTTCAGAAGAGAAACAGAGCTAACAAAAATCGATAGCAAACGACTGCTGCAAAAAATCGCTCAGCTGCATATTTCAGCAATTAAGATCCCATCCAAATGCAACAAGCACGAATATTTGGTGTCCTTGACAAAATGAATGAAGGGCCTATTTTTTTTGAGATAAGTAAATTTTTGGCATAACTAGATACAATTATATTACTGAAACTACTTCATCCTAGAGGAGCCAACGATTTTGACCTCAGCCTCAATGCAGCACTTGGTCTTGATGAGATAACCATTTGATGAGTCCTGGATATCCTCCATTGAAACAACGTTCTCCCATCCCCAGATCCGAACATTGTTTGAGAACTGGGTCCGGCCTGCAATTCCCAACAGCAAAAGAAGGGTTTAAATATGTGAAAACAATTTAGCATCCGGAGACCTATCCATTAAGCAAATTTGTACTAAATAGCAAACCTGTTGTTTTCAAATGCTTGCGACCTTCCTGGTTTTTGATGGATAAGGTGAATTCAACCAGGATGGCATAGTCTTCGGGGAGATCATTTATCATCTTCTTCAGGTACAAGGAGATGTGGTTTTCTTCTTTATCGAGGCGAATCGACCTGCAAGAACCGATCGTGCATGAATGAGTGCAACTCCTCCCAATCTCTAGTGATCAAATGCACGAGTGACATTTACACCATGTTTTGAATCAAGGAAAGGAAATCCAGATGAAATCACCCTACCATTTGTATCCACCGGCGGTGAACTCCGGGGAGTACCCTGGGTTCTTCATTCCAAAGAAGTCCACAATGCACCAGGTGTAAGCAGATTTGGCCTCGGGCAAGGTGCTCGTATTCTTGACAAAGAGTTTCTCTGATGTCGTCTTTGCTTTTGTGGTGACAACTTTAATGAACTTGACACCAATGACGCAGTTGTTATTGACGAGGAATCCAGATGAATTCTTCAGTGCCCATGAGCCTAATCATGCATGACTTGCCAGAACTTGTGCTTGCAGTCTGGAAAGTATGGCTCACTGCACAACAAAATATAGCAATTCATCGAAACAAATAATGGCTGGGAAATCATACTAGGAAATAGGAAGGTTTGGAGTCAAGTTTAAAGCATTCTGGTAATTTTTTCCCAGGTATATAATTGTTTTTTTTCACATGAACAGTGTTTTCAGACAGAACGGTATTTTTCCCTCACAACAATCAGCCGGAACAGTATTTTGGCTTATTTTTCAGTTCTGTCGAACAACGTATATAATTGTTTGGAATCACACATCAGAGTTATCGATCAAGTGATACAACACGAGCTGCACTCTCTGAACGTATATGAGATATTTGGTCGCTATTTATTAGGTTCAATTAATTTTTTATGAGGTCATGGAGAACACACGTTAAGTTTATTTGGGCTATTGTACCAAGAACACGATTTGCTTCCATAGTTAAGTGCAGTACACTGGGAGGTAACTCACTCTGTTCTAAAAGGAATGTCATTCTTAATTTTCGAGAGTCAATAAACCTTAAAGTTAATTAGATACATACAAAAATGTACTGATACTTTTAATGCGTAATAAGTATCATTAGATGAATTATGGAGTATATTTTCATAATAAACATATTTGGAGATATAAATATGATAATATTTTTCGATAAACCTAGTCAACTTCATGAAAATTGAGTTAGTTCAAACCTAGAATAATATTCTTTTGGAACAGAGGCGTTAGGATTTAAAACATATAGTCAGTAGCAGTTCTCCAGTTCATACAA